TTACAATTATTGTTGTCGTTATCTATTGTGAATAATTTGTTTAATTGGATTTGATTTGGTTTAGGAAAGTTCTTTTTGTGACTTAGTGAATCTGGTTGTGAAAGTTTTCTTCTTTGAAGAGATTTGTTTTAATTCACGTCACATGGTCTTTGATATGTTTGATATCTTTGATATGAGAGTTGATCGTTCGGTCAGATCATCTTCATTAATTTTGTTTGGATTAATTGTTTCAATTTTATCCTGGCTGTTCTTTTATCAAAAGATGATCCAATGTTGTAAGAAATCAAGTTGGTGATCTTGTTTATTGATTCAATACAGATACTGATACTGAGATTAACAGAGATAGCTGAGTGTTTTGATGATAGCAATGATAACTTCAACTAAATGTGGGCTAATATATCTATTTTAGACATTAAAGATCACAATAAATAAAAATTTTAATATTTGACAAAAATTCTGATTTTTTAAAGACAAAACTAATTGATTAATCCAAATAAATTTCAAATTTGGGGTAAACAATATGAAATTTTGCAAACATGATTATAAGTCATCTAAGAATTTATTCCAGATGTTTAGTCACATGTCTTTATAAAATTCTTCATAAACAGAGATATAATCTTTTAGCTATCAAAATAATATAATTTTTAATAAAAAATATTTCTTATGAATTTAATATGGTAACTTGCATTATAGATTAGTTTCGGATTTCCGATATTATCAGAGAAAAATATAAATTCGTAAAAATTTTCAAATATGCTATTACTGGAGAAAATACATTTTTTGATATTAAAGTATTAGTTAATATTTAAATAAGTTATAATTATAAGGAAGGATTATTTGCGAAGAAATCTTGATATGTGTAGAACATGAATATGTGAATAAAGATTATGCAGATCAACAAAGTCAGAACTGTTCTTGCTCATAATATATCTAACAAATGATAAGATCAAGATCTCACCTAACTTTTTTCCCAGTATCTAATATCAATTAACAACTGTAATTAAAGCGCTTTCAGTCCTTTCAATAGCAACTATAACCTTCGACCTTTTGGTTTGGGCTAATTTATCGCCCTTTTCATGCAATTTCATTTCTTTTTTCGTTGTGATAAATGGATGGTACACATCCCATGTGTACCTTAAAATTTTATAGCAGTTTAATTTTATAATTTTTTTGGAACAGTTAAAAGCCAATAATTTTTATGGATATAATTCGTCTTTTCGAATTACATTTAACATGAAATTTGTTGGCGTTTTAGTTGTTGAGAAATGTTTCAAACAAATATCAGTAACTGTAATGTTTAACTTATTTTTCTAGAAAACTAAAAGCATTCGTTTTAGTGATTAAATCTAACTAATTGAATTCTATTAAATAGTAATTAAGCGTAAATTATAAATTTTTATTCCAATTCTCTTAGCCTTTCAATTCTTTACTGTAGTTATTTTATAGAATTTCAATTTTTCTGTTCGATTAAGATGAATTATGAAAGTATTTTATAGTTTCTTACGCCTCAGTTTTTGGTGTTCAGTTACGAAATTTACGACACTAGCCAACTAATCCAGACAATATTATTGGATGATTTATTGGTTGATGGAAAACATCGGAGAATTGAGGATATAGCGATAAAAAACTACGATGGAAGGTACCGTTCTTCAATAAACATTGCTTACAAATGTTTACTTAAAATTTTCTTCTCTTAATTTCAGGTTTTTCAAATTTTTTAGTGTTAGAATTAAATAAAACCTCATTGACTGTGTCCGAAATTAAACTTAAAATTCGAAAAATTAATTCAGTATAACATTTTCTATTTCTGAAGAAACAACGATCGTTAAATGTTAATTTTCGGCTTTATTTAATTAAGTTCGCATATAATTTACTTTAACATCTATAGAAAACTAATGTGACCTGTGCTTACAGCTTGTTCATCCAACGGGTATTAAAACTTACCGACATAAGCCCATTTGCAGTTGCAAGCACGGTATTGGAAATACCACCGGGTAAGCTTTATGCTAGTTACTTATAAGAGAGATCGTAGGAAGCTTAAATGCCTTCATCTTTTTGCCTGAAGCATTATATTCTTCTCTGCATTTCAAATACTACCATCAATATGAAGTAAATACGTAATGAAGTAAATTAGATGATTATTTTTTTGTTTGTATTCAGAAAAGCAAAATGCGACAGAACTGGACACTTTATTGTTGCCGTTGAATCATTCAAAAATTATGATTCCGTATATTCAAGCGATGGCTGCTGCACCATTTGCGCTTGGAGCAGTAGAGTTGAAGAAAAATGACAAAATATGGGATATCCTGGCAATCGGTCTTGGTACCGGGATTTTGAACGGCTTTCTGCACGATGTCTTTAGCAATGTTTGTTATTTTTCCTTACAAAAACCATTTGATTTCAAGTTTTGAGGAATGTAAGATGCTTCTGTAGTCTATTAAATGAAATTGAGCGAAAAGTCTATTAATTAGAAATAAAAGTTTTTGAAAAAGCTACCAAATTGTGTGCATTAATAAATCAATGGTTTGGAATTTCCTCTCTGCCAATTTAAAATTTATAAAACTTTTATAAGCCTAGAACATAGTTTTTGGCAGTGCTGGTTTTAGAGGATTCCTGTAACGAATAATTGCTTTCACGGTAGATACCTCAATATTTATCAGCCATTCCAGTTTCAGCAACTTGCTATACATCTGCTTTCGTATTCTCACGTACATTAGCTATAAAATTCATTTATCAGTTCATTCATTTATCAAATAATTTATCAGTGTGCATTTTTTGCGCAATTGTTTTACACTCTCATTAATTCTATTATTTCAAGTCACATATATATCTTTTAAAAACTATCAAGTAATTCAAATTTCTAAAGAAAATTAATTTCAGATGAATATAACAGTGATAGAATTGCAGCAAGGAATGTATGAAATAGCTAAGAAATATTTCGGTCTAATCGAAGACAATAATCAAAGAATAATCATTGAGGATGGTTTAGAGTATTTGCAGGAAAATGCAAGTCCGTTTCATTTCTTATTGTTCAAAACAGTTAGTTGTATATGAAAAGATAATAATATCAGAGATGTAATTATTCGGTGAAGGTTTAAATTCGATCTCAGCTTCCATCTGAAATTTTCCCAACTTCTAATTTTGAATATTACCGTCATTTTAATAACAAAGACAGTTGAAATTTGGAGATCAGTCGAAATTCGATGTGATCTTTATCGATGCTTGCTATGACAGAATTGTGGACGAAGTGATATGTCCCGTTGAAGCTTTCATGTTGAAAAAAAATTTGAAAATTATTAAAGAAACATTAAGCGAAAATGGTTCGTTTTTTTTTTCTTGCAACTTTGTTGAGACATAAATTAATTTTCTTCTTTCAGCCATTCCATCTTTTGAAATTCGCAAATCCTTTCAACAATTCTGGGAAAGCGTCAATTTCATTGTCAAAATTATACAGCTTACGTATGCTATCAATGAAAATTTAAAGCACTTGCATATTTTGAGGAAGAATGTGTAGATGGCAATTTCAAATTTATCAAATATTTTTTAAGAAATTGGATCTTTTCCACAACTTTTGTTGCTTTTGGATAGTTTTACAGTGTGAAATCTAAATTTCAAACTTAAAGTCTTAAAAATTCCGATTTTATGCCTCATAAAAAGTTGTTAAATATTTGAAGTCAAACATTCTATCAGTCTTTCAGGCATCGTCATCTTATCAGTCTTGACGTTTGAAGAATATAAACTCAGACAGGTATAATTTAAAAATGAATTTCAAATGGTATTGCGTTGTATTATTATGTGCTATGCACTTTCACTAATCAAATTCAGATACAAAAAAACTACACGAATGTATTCGGCAACTGTCATCTGATCACCGATAGCTTAAATCACGTCAATCATGTAAGTCACCTGATTACTTGAAGTAATCTACAAATAACAGGATTACTTTTTTGGTATCAGGAAAATTTGATATAAAAGTTCCATAACTCATATTTCATACACATTCAAAGCATTTTTTTCTTGTAGTTTTGTTAAAATTGCGGTATTTTTGTATAATTAGAAAAGTATAAATTCGAATTAAACTTCATGTGAATTTCTAGGTCCTTGCGTGTGGTGAATCTCGAAGAAAAAAGACTGAATTTGCCAGAAAATTGAGAGAAATTTACAAGAAATTTGGATTTTACTCAGAACCAAATGTTGATTGGATGCATCGATGATATGTCAAACGAAGTTGTACAACTAGCACTATTATATTCATCATCCAAATGAAGTGTAAAAAATTTGAGAGAAGTGCCATACTGTGCACAACAAGCTAAAACTTACTGAGGTATTCAAGATACCCTAGACAATGCCTGTGCGAACAATCAAAGCGAAAATTGTGCAGAGAGTTTATATTGTGCGTCAAAATAAAGTTGAGAAAGTTCTCTCAATCGAACCTCGTAACTTTGTTAGATGCTAAGATCGAAAAGTGTCAGGCTCTTATTTATACATAATTCAATCTAAATATTTATTTGGCTCGTTGTGCAAATTCATTATACCGTAGCCAGTATTGATCCCAGTCATTATTATAATCACGATTATGAACTGGAAACTTCAGCAGGGGCTGCTTATGAATTTCTTCTACTGGTATCTCGCGACGAACATATACATGGTCGTTTTCTTTATCCCACCACGGATACCAGTTCTTATAGTCGAAATTTTGAAATGGTACAGCAAATTTGATGAAACCTACAAAAAGTTAACTGTAATCATTACAAAAAAACAAGAAAGTCAACTTAAGCAGTATAATTGCTCATTTCCGCCGCAATCGAAACTATTTTGTCATTCATTAGTTGAAATGAACAATGACAAGAAGAAACAAATTTTTTGCAAACTGCGACACATAAATCATGAATCATAAGTTATTATTATAACTGGTCCTTCTACAAGCTTCTGAACTCCTTGTCATAAAAAGTTCTACTTTCATAAACGAAATTATTTTGAAATTATTTGAAAAAATTAACTAGTTAAATAATAAATTCAAAGGGATATCTTAATATTAAAACTTCCTTCTAAATTAAAAATTAAAATTTCTTTCTAAATCAAGAATCAAAACTTCTCTTCCAAATATTTGAATTTTCCTTAAGTTATTCCATGTGAATAACCGATAAAAAACAATATTATCCTTTTATCTCAAGAGATATGTAAGAGCAAAAATACTCTTAAACAAACCATGTTCTTTTGCTTTCAGTAATTGCGCTCGAAGTTGCGCGTATTGATCAAAGCATAAACCCAACTTTTTGAGAGGCAATATGCGATCGGTTTGGTAAAAAAGAAACTGCAGAATTAAAGCAGGATTCTGAAATCTCTAATCTTGCACATAAAGAAGTTGAAAAACTGAATTTATTTTCCTTTTTCCTTCCTACTCACTATCTTATTATTAGCTCCATCAAAAAAATTTTGGTACAATATGCCACATGTCATTCTGTATTGAGAAGTGAGGTAATATAGTATTTTTTTTAAATTACTATTTTAATAATTTTAATTACTCAGTTCGAGTCAACATTTAGTTCTTTTCATAAACAAAAATCAACTTCTTTTGAAAGTTTATTTCTTACTTCACTTACATTAAGCTCATTGCTTCAACCACAACATGCACTTACACTTAATTTACACTTAATTTTAGAATATGCAAAAACTGTTACCTAAATAATCAGTACATACTAAACACAAACAATAACGATGAGAAAAAATTACCCGATAATCGAAGAATAAATACTCATCTCGGCAGATAGGGCAAGCGTGATTTACTTTGAATTTCCCTTCCTTATCAACACAAAACATCCGCGGTTTTGGCATAAAAATAGCTTGCCCCTTGAAGTTACGTCTGTAGAAATGATACACTGGCATTCCCTTATATGTATCCGCATACACTGCAAAAAATTCCATTTGAAGTCAAAAAAGCGTTGATTTAAAATAAAAGTCATAGTAGCTACCTTTTTCATGATAAAAAACATACCCTTACTGTTCATGTAAGCTATTTGCTCCTCTAATGTATGTTTTGGCCTGTAAAGGCCTTTTTTCTTCTCTACAGTGTTATAAGCATAGCCAATAGCTTCTTCTGCTCCTTCATTATCTTCTGAACTCGTTTCTTTTACTTCTACGGCACGGCAAAATTGTGACGAATTATGATAATTGCAGCTGATCAATGGATTTATCCTATTCGGTAATCCAAAATTTGACTTGTAGAAAAGTAAGCGAATATGCCTACTGAGCATAACAATCAGTAGTTTGATTGAAAAGCTCTGGAATTGATCTGAAAATGAAATTAAAACAAAATCATTGTATATAGGGCGGACAACTTCTACGATACTCGAGAAAATATCGTAGAAGTACTAAACGGTATTCCCCAATTTGATTTTTAGTACAGTTTCAAATTCAATTTCACGAAATCAACATTGTTATAAAAAACAATTATTTGTTGTAATTTAATATATCTGATATCTTTCCTCATTCAACATCTTCCCTTATTTAAAGGCTTCTTTTATGCATCCACTATTCATTTGTATTAAATTCATAAAAATAACATGCAGCAGAAGTGAAGTCAACTCGACGAATCATAACCAATGTCTCAAACAAAGAACAACCTAAACATCATTCCTCATCGATACTGAAATCTACCGTTATAATAAGAAAAAAAAAACGGGAATAGAGGATGATTGTATTGCTTGACAAAATCAAAAAGAGATATAAACAAGAAGCAAATATGGAAATTATTTATTACATCAATTAATATAAAACAGAAAATATTTAAAGTTTTCAGCATAAACAATTAACTTCATTTGAGAAGTTCCATATTATATTCATGAAAATTCCTATCAAGAGAACTGATTTTATGTTTGAAGATAATAAGTTCAAATTTACTCTAAAAGATGATAATTTAGATTATGCAGCACATGAAAAAAAAAACTAATAGAAGCTAGAAAAACAACGATAAGAAATATTAGATATAAAGTGGATTCTTTTTTATTCAACATTAAACCAGCTCAAAAAATTTTCGACAGAAATAATATTGATGATTTGTCTTCCCTTTTACAAAACTGCGGAATCATTCAACAACCTACTGAGGGTAACGACTGTCATTGATTTACAGATATTCAATAACTTATATACAAAATCATAAAAGTTAATACCGCCACTATCTTGGTATTTCTAGTTTCTCAGCAAGTTCAGCCAAAATTTCGTCCGTTCGCTTACGCCAATTTTCCACATCCTTAGACACTTCTTGCCACAGTTCACCGTGACGCGGCTCAGCTTGCAAGCATTTTTTCTTCACCAAATCTTGTTCTTCCTTTAAAAACATAAAGCGTCTTTCATAGTTTTAAGCATGATACTGTTTTTTCAGTCGTTTCAGATTCTTTCAACAGTTAAGACTATCAAATCAGCTAGGTAGTACTTCTCCTAAAAATAAAGTGATTCTACTGTACAAATCAAACAATAGTTATGAGTAATGTGAAGTAAGTTATATTTTCTTCAAACTTACTTGTGAACCGTGTAACAGTTCGAATTTGTAAAAGAATGCCCAAGCATCTCCAAAATCAGGATCAATTTTAACAGTTCGTTGGAACCATTCACGAGCTTTCCTGATTTTCCGTTCTGTCCAAAACAATTTCGCTACGGCTAATAAAACATCGGCGCTATGTTCACATTTCTTCAGAGCATCAACTGATTTCGTACGTCGACCGTGACGTTCTTCCATGAAAATTGCTTCTGCCCACAAACGTCCTAAAATTTCAGAAACGTAGCTGACTTTCTCGTTTTTAAATTATAATCTTGAAAGGGCCTTTTATTTTCCATAATTTGCTAGAAAAGAACTAATAAAAAGCTCAATAATTATTTGGCAGTTAATCCAAAAATGCCAAAGAATATTACGATATATCCATAAAAATAGTGCTCAGGATAATATTGAAACATATTTCTAATAAAGCATCTATTAAATTCATAAATAAAAAAGCAAAAATTTAAAGAAAACCTTATCAGAAGAAGTTTAAGATTACCTGAATGTTCACATTCCTGCAAAGCTCGAGCCAACCTTTCTTGTGCAAGTTCTTTCAAACCAGCTCGTGCTTCAATTCGTATTGCTTCCAGCCTAAAATTTTTGTGAAATTAAAAAAAATTTCATCCAAACCCTCCTACATTTTAGAAACAAATAACAATCCCAGTGATTATTTAACGCTCCAAACAAAAAATAAAACTTGCCAGAGTTCTGAATTTTTTGGGTTACGTAAACGAGCTTTTTCCAGATCAGACCTAGCTTTTATTGTCTGATTTTGTGATTCTTCTAAACGACTCAACCAGATCCAAAGTGGAATAAAAGTAGGACAATGTTTGACCTGAAAAAAAAAGCATTTTGAAATGAAATTTGGTTAGAGATTACGAAGTTGAAATTTGAAACAGATGAGAATGAAATGCTAAAAAAACCTACACCATTGGAAAAATATCGGCGCGCTTCACTATAATTCTTTTCCTGCTGAAGTATTTGACCCATCATAAGATATAATTTCGGCGTTTCTGGAAATTGTTCCAGTGCTTCCATCAACAGCTTCTTAGCAGCAGTCAAGTCTTTCAAGCACCATTCTAATCTGAAAGTATGAAGAGTGAAAAAGATACAATTCTTCAAATTAACAGATTCGAAAACATTTCCACAACTATAATTTTTCTGATTTCGTACAGTCTTATAAATGAATTTTATACAGTGAAGAAAGCAACATGTTAGTCTGTAACAAATTTTATATTCTTTGTAGTACTTACATTCATTACATTTCTTAGTTCCAAACGCATAAAAATACCCGCGGTAAAATGTATCCACAATATGCCGAGATTTTAGAAAAAACAAACAGGTTCATCTTTATCCTCATTATGATGATTTTCAGAGCAAGTTGAAAATAACTTAAAATAGTGCACCTAACAGATTTAAGATAAATGCGTGGGGAAGGAGCGATTTCTCGAGCTTTTTCTAACAATTTACGAGCTCTTTGGAATTCATTGTTTTCGGATTCTAGCTTTACAGCAGCCATCCAAATTTCTTCCGAATTTGGATTATTCTAAAACAAATATTATTTTTCATATAATTTAAACAATCGAAAATTCCTACTTTTTAAGAATATGGCGATATATGTACTACAATGGAAGAGAAATAAAACTATTTATTAATATGCATTACAAATCAAAAATGTAACCTGAAAAGCTCTTGCAAGGATTTCACGAGATGCTTTTACATCACCTGCTAACCATTTACTTTTTGCATACATTAACCACAACGTTTCCGCTTTTGGACACTTTTCCACCGCTTTTTTCAACAACTGATCGTAACTTTCTCTAAAAGTTGTGCAATTTTTTAAATGAATTATTCCAAAAGCCTCTAAATGCAACTGCTAGTAATATGACTAACAATCACAGGTATTCTTTTCTGTTTCCTCCAATGAGGAACTTTTATAAATATCTCTTAATATTTGTTAGTTAGTCCTTTTCCTTGCCCTTTAAGTGACTAGAGCAAAAACAACTTCTAAACAAGCTTACGTTGTACCATGGTTTCGTTCAAAATGTGCTGCAGCAAACCAGATACCTTTCTTGGTTGGAAAAACGAGTAAAGCATGAGCATATACTGCACGGGCACACTCATATGCTTCTTGAGCAACAAACTATAAATTAAATTTTCTTCCAAATATTTACACTAGATTTAAAAAAGTTTAATGATTATAAAGAAAAAGAAATGCTGATACATAGAACTTCATTTTCTTAAATTAATTCCGTGGCTCACGTAGAAATTCGAAGAGCAATAATTGTAAAATTACCGATTCTGCATCTTCCATCCATGTATGCTTCCGATCTTCTTCCTCAACACCAATTCCAAGCACATGTGAAATTATAGCTTGAGAAGTGAGTTTACAATTAGCCTAAAAATAATTTCATTCACAATTCATTACATTTCTTTTGTCAAGTCTTTTTCAGGGCAAACAAAAAAAGGAACTTGCAAAGCTCTGAATGCACACCATACATTGTAAAATCTACCTTTTCGGCATCAACAGCATCTTTCAGCCAGTGTTCACGATTAATTTCAACCATATTCGCTTTCAGGGAAGTAATAGCCCTTTCGATAATTCTATCAACCATATCACTTTGTCCTCGAGTTTCTTCCAGTCTTGCAGCGCTAATCCAAATTTGTCGTTCAGTAGGGATATGCTCGCGCGCTCTATTTAGAACACGGCGTGCATTTTCATACGTTTCTAGACGTGCCAGTGCTAGCCACAGTTCCGTTGAAGTGCTAAAATTTTTTTATGCCCTAGTATTAGTTTGAAATCTCCTAAATCTCAATTTTTTTTAATCAGTATATTAAAGCCCATCATCAAACAATGTTTGATTACAATAAACAGCAAATGAATAACGTGCAGATAGATTGAAGCATCTTTCAATAATTTAAAAGAAAAACTTATAAAATATTTTTCATACCTGCAGCATTCTACAGCTCTTGTGAGCAAAATTCTAGCATCTTCCGGTTCTTCCAGTTCCACCGCCGCTTTCCATAAACGTACTGAAGTTGGAATTTGTTCCAACGCCTTGCGAAACACCTTCTTCTTTGCTTTTAAATCTTCCTCAAGTTCAGCTGCTTTCATCCATATACGAACCGAATTTGGTAATGAACGTACGGCAGCAGCCACTGCAAAAAATCTTGACATTCAAGAAAGAGCCTATCCTATAAGGTTTCTTATCGCATTTGAATTATTTTTAGATAAAAATACACATTACCAATAGCTTTCGCTGTATCCGGAGGATGTAAACGAACTGATTCCAGCCACAAATCTTCGCTCTTTGGATTTCGATCACAGCCTTCTATGATTAAATTACGGGCTACCTGCAATTTTCCAACCACTTCTTCCAGGCGTGCTGAAGCGATCCATGCTGGAACAAAAATGATTTGAAATTTTCAATATGAATATTACATGGATAAAATAAATTTGATATATATGAATGGAACTTGACTCGGTATCAGTCATTGATTGCGTTGCGATAAAATTCAGGAAAGAATGGTAATATAATGTAGCACTGATTGGATTAGATACTTGAAATACATCTTATGAAAAGTTATAGTGGAAAACAAGAACAAATAGAATTATTTTACCTGGTGGATGGCGTGGATTGGTTTCTCGAACTGATTTTAAAAGCAAACGAGCTTTTTTGATGTCATTAATATCACCACCATATTGCGGTATCATTGATTGCAAATCAGTCAAGTAACCTTTTGGATCTACCACTGTTTGCCCCGTAACGGAATCCGAAACCTGAATGAAAAAACTTCGAAATGAAAAAGAAAAGAAGCCTATACAAAAAAAAAAACAATAAAGTTAACCCTGTCTAACAAAATACATTTCTTTTGAATCAAATACAATCAATCAATTCCCATAAGAAGCAACAACAGATGACTGAAATATTAAATACAAATGTGATACCCTGACCGCATGATGTTGTTATAAATCTAGCAATTTGTATAAATGAACAGTACCTGATTTAGTTTGATATCCATGATTGCATTTCTAGCCTGGCCAATTTTTCGTAAATCAAGATCTGCAGATGATGAAGAGCCGGACTGTATTCCGGTCTTCCAACCCGGTGTTAACAAGCCACTTTTTATACCACTTAATGTGGACATAAAACCACTGCCATAGGTAGAAGTCATTCCACTAAACGTCGAGGTAATTCCTGAACCCATTGGTGTTAGCAAGCCTGACTGAATACGACTGTCCATTTGGGTATTCATCTGACCATATGACATTGCAGATGCGATTATCGAATCTGGTACGGGAGTAATCCTAAAAACCATAGTATAAAGGATAACCTGCAATTACGACTTTTGAAATTCGTTAAACAACTTTCCATTCTTGTTTGGAAAATCTCTGTTTGTGTGTTAAAAAGGGCATCAGAAAAAAGATTCAGGAAACCTCAAACAGTGATTATTAAGAAAAGTCATAGAATAAATTAGAAAATGATACTTGTCTGCTCGTGGATTACGTTTCGCTTTATTTCGAATATCACCAACTTCTGGAATTGCTGACCATTCCGCTTCCGTCACGTTGGACAATTGACGTTTTAAATCAGAAAACTCTTGCTGAATTTTAGGCCGTTCTTTACGATATTTTTCGATTGCCTCTTTATACTTCTTTTCTCTAAATCAAATAGAAACCGATTACAGAAGCTGAACTGCAATCATCCTATTAAATCACCAGTGAACGAATAAAAGCTAAATCTAGTAGTCATCAGTTAATAAGCAAGTTCACCTATATTCTTTCCGACGTTCATCAATCCGAGAATCAACAGCACTGTAAATTTCGTCCGCTTCTTCGTCATCTTTATCATAAGGATCTTTCGAGAACAAGCTTCCACCATAACCTTCGAACTGAAATTTTAACATATGTCATGAATAAAGAATGACACTAATTATTAATGAAAGTAAAATAGACTTGTTCAACATTACTAAGAAGATTACCAGTAAAGAGATATTTCGAACAAACGCTTCTAAATAAATTATGCACGAAATTAGTGCTTAAACGTTCCAATTTGAACTATAATAATTATCATCATTTTTTATTATAATTCAGCAAAGAAAGAATGGTCAGCTCAACCTCATCATAGTTCGAATCATTTAAATCTTCATTATCATCCTTTTTATCATCATCATCTTCACGGGCCTTTTTTGTCGGACCAGCTGGTGGTAATTCTGGTAAATCGGTACTATCACGGGCCGGTCCGATATCTGAACGTGTAGTGAAACCAGTTGCACCACGGCCAACACCAGCAACGTAACCTGCCGGTGCAGGCATACCCAGAAAATGCTTTTTTCGCTTATTAACGAGGGAACCCGGGATGGTTACTGTTGTCATGTTTGTCTGCAAATATTTGAAAACATATATTGATTTGTAAAAAGGAAAGAAGAAAATATAACGGATTTTATGAACAGATCAGAAGAACTACTTCAAGAACTGTTCATCATCTATGATATACATGCATTCTTGAATGTGATGTTCTTATTCAAGAACAGTATATATACATATTAATCTCTAAGATTTCTATAACACGAAATATCTCAGATATCAACAACTTTGCAAAAAAAAATCCGGCACCTTATCAAATTTTCTGCATTTAAAAGAAAAACCTCGAAAATACTATAGTTTCTCTCTCAAACGAAAAAAAAAGAAATACTTAAATAGAAAATTTTTCACACATTATTGGAAATAACAATTCTGAAAGATACAATTTCTATACCAAATAATATTAGACTTGTTTTCAATTCGCATTGAATTAAAGAAAGACTTAAACTTCAATCTTTAAAAGTTAACTTCAAAAAACGACTTCAATCTTCAAACTTCAGACACTCACTCCCACCCACACTCACAACGTCAGGAAATAAAATAAAAGTTTAACAATACGACAATGCAACCATTAGAAGTGGTTTGCTAAAGTTCAAGAGTGATAAATCACACTGGTGTGCACATTGTGAAAACAGCTGTACCATCTTCATGCATCTTCAACTATTTCCAAAATGTGGTCCAGAGACAAAGTATAATTTCTGGATTGAAAATATTTTAAATTTCGGAATTAACCTTAAATTTTGTGCTTAAACTATTAATTCTTTGATAACTTTTAAAAGATGATTGTTGAATTCAAAAATACTTAAAATTATCTTCTTGGTGATTAGACAATAGGCACTGTCTAATTACAGTAATTAGCAAAAATAGTTTGATCTAAATTTTGCCTGAAATATTCTTTCTGATTCATACTATACATCATATATCAATTATACCCTTATTTATTTATTTAAATAAGTTGACTTACCTCATCTTTATAAAATAAAAGTTTAAAATTAACCAACCTGTAAAAATTATATCTGATTCTAAAAATTTCAACAATTGTTGACTTCAATTGTTTTTACTTCTGCAAGTCTTTTTAAGTCAGTGTTAAATTTGTCATTTTAATTAGGATGTCGAAATTCAATTTTTATTCATGTTTTAAGGTAGAAATAAAATTACACCTAATGATTTTTGTACATATTCATATTTGTATTACTGGGCTCCTTAATTGAACCGAAAATTTCGAAAATAGAACTCATTGTTTTGTTAGTTAAACAATATTAAATTAATAATTGCATACTTGATATCTTATCCTTTCTCCTGGCATAACTTTACCAAATTTTAGCATCACTTTTTATTTCAACATCAACTTCAATTACTCAAAAGATCAAAAGAATAGCACAGGATTAAGAAATACATAATCTGAACCAAAAATAGTTGCATATAATTAAGAAAATGTATATGCAAATCCGATACGTTATTATATTCAAACTGGGAAATCTAAAAATTGCAAAATACAAAGTAAAATGTTGCACAAACGGTTATAGTGTTTGCATATTTCTATATGATATACATGACTAATTTAGAAACGCATGATTAATCAGAATCCTGACTGTATCCACTTCATCACTGATAAGATGATTAGTCAAAATCTTCATTGTAATTTGCTTCAGTATCAATAACAGGGGTTCTGATATCGCGTATTTTATTCATGATAGCATCATGTATGTTGCAAAATTCTTCAAACTGATGATTTTCAATCTCGTCGCAAGCCATTTCTTCTTGTGGCCAACCTTCACGCAACGTTTTAACACTTCGAGCGCAATAATTTTTTTGCATATTCCTATCATCGAATATATTTACCGCCCTAATAACGACGCTGTCTTTTTTCTATCATTTAGTCTTAATAGAAAAAAATGCGAGAATTATCTTAAACGATGCAGTCAGCATGAACATTTTAACTGCATCTTTTATTTGATATAAATGTTTGCTTGAGGTTAAATTTTTTAATTTATATATTTATCATTTTTATTTTTGAACTAAGTAATGATTGTTAAGTTGTTTTGTAAAATTGTCAATCATTTTTTGCAAAAAAAAGAAAAATTAAATTGAAAAATTGTAATTGTCAGTACAAGTGAATAAGAGATGTTTGCAACAAAAAGAGAAAGATAAGCGACTGATATAATGGAAGGTTTTCTGGAAATTTGTTTATAGCTGTATCCGACCATTATCTCCACAAAAGGAAATTATAAATAGTTGTAAATGAGCTTACGAAGAAAATCTGCTGCTGATCATGCATATCGGGCAACGCATAATAAAATCTTTTGGACGAAGCATAAATCCCTGATCTAATTGATTCATATTTTTAATTTTCGGTGCCTGCAGATTTTTTTTCGAATCTGCTTCATCAAATTTTAGAAATTTAAAAATTTGCTAGAAAATTTTGGAGCATAAATTAAGCATTATAATTTGTCAACAATTATTATTCTTTCCGTTAGTCGCACATATTTTTCAATTTCTTAAATTCTCTCCAGTATGCTTCAAAATGTCAAAAGAGAACCAGGGAAAATTTTGATTGAATAACATGAAAGATACAAAGAGCTGAGTGAAATCTTAGTTAATAAACTACCAGAATTGGAGTTTGCGGAGATATACCATACTTGCCAATGGTATTATTAAAAATGCCTGGACATGGACGATATTTGCTTATGAAATTACTTGTATTCAATATTTTATTTTTAAATACATTTTGCCATTGTTTATATGACGGTGGATATTTCAGATCACATGGGATCTAAATCAATTAAAATTACTTACTTTCATATGCAATCTGAAGTGATAAAATTGATTTTTGAAAATAACGAAATCGAAATCTTCGTACTATTCGGAAATCCATAAATGCAATATATTAAAAAAAAAAGACAATTAGCTTAGTGTAAATAAAAAAAATGAAAAAAAAAAATATTCTGCCGAGAGTTACTATTATTGGTAAAGCTCAAATTTAGCAACTAGATAAATTTCAGAACAACAAATTTAATTTTAAATCAATTTGAAACTGATGAAAATTAGATTAATAAAATGAAATCAACAAACTATGTCAAGCAGTGATGCGCATTTGTTATTATCCGTACGTTGCTGATAGTATCGTATCATAAAAGACGATTCATCGCTTGCCCATCCGCACTCTGACTGAATAAAAAATTGCCATTGTAACCAAAATTTTTTTAAAAAAAAATTTTCATTTTGAAGTTTTTCTAAAAATTTATAATACTGCCTTAATTTTTTGTTAGACAAATTATGAACTAATATAATTCTCGGATTTAGACGGCCTATTTTACGTATATGAACTTATGTATGCCAAAAGGAATACTGCTAATCAAAAGATTTTTATTGCTTCACACGTTTGACGATGTTAACTTTCCTGAATTAGGCATAACTTACGTTTAATGGAATAATTTGCTTAAATTAGACGTTGCATTTACTGGAAAATTCTACGTGATGGTATAAAATAAAAATTAAGATCACAGCAATCATCAGGATATATTAAAATTTTAGGAATTCGAGCTAAACAATTTTTCTTACAACATCATATTCAGCAGGCGGATAATATTCGCATGAGAAGAAGGCCGAGAAATTTGCATACTGAGCTAATATATCATTTTCACGACTTAATCGCAAATATTTTTCCTGCAATAACAAGTAATACAATAAAATTTTTCAGTTTCTCTTTTATTCAAAATAATTAAAACAATTAACAGATAACGTCCGAAAAACAAAACATCAACAATAAATGTTATAAAAAAGAGCCAAAAGCTTGAATATAAAGAAATAAACTACTATGCGTAGAGATGATTATACTTCATACACAATATGGTCTTCGAAAAGACATTTCATGAAAAAGTGAAAAAATAAATTATAATTTTTAAAATAACTCAAAAATAAAACAAACATTAAGCTTATTAGTCGAATGATGTAATACAACAATAATAATAAGAAGAAGAATTAATACAGCTATTTGCAGGAATAATATTACTGTACACTGTTTTCGTCGAAAAACATAACGCAGGAAACGTCGTCTGCTATCATTACTGTACTAAAATTAAGATTTCATAAATTATCAAGATATTTTCCTCTTTTTTTAAACTGATCGATGGATAGATTTAGAATTGTGTTATTTAGCTTTTATTTTTTTTCTTGTCTTTTGTCCATTTATTTTTATTAATTAGAATTTCCAACAGAATTTGATAAAATTTTAAAAATGTTTTTGTAACTAACAAATACCCAATAATTAAAATTTTAATTTTCGAATTCCTAATTACGCATCTCATATCATTTTTGTTCATGTACTCTATCAAAAATATTGTGACACGCATACAAATTGAAAGAATTTGATTTGATAGCGTGCACTTTACATGTAATGTATGCATCTAAATAGCGCCCATTCCACTTTCAAATAGGTCTCATAACAAAAATTCAGAACTGAAGTTGAATAACTCTCGATGGAAAATAGTGATTGCTACAGCGAAGTTTTAACTGGCCCTTGACCTTTAACTATATAAAGAAACGAAAGTTTAAAACTGTCTACTTTTACAAGCTATTTGGGCACTGAATATTTGAAAAAATTAAAAAGGTATGATGCTTACCATTTTTTGTAAAACAACCGCTTTAAAGTTTGAAAAAATATAATTATGGTTAATTCCAAAACGCGTCGCGAATTAAACAGCTAGTTTGCATACTCTATTCGTACGGGCTAATTACTGAACAAGCATGACCTATTTTGACGTCAACGTTTTCTTTCATTCCGATCTTCAATCCCGTAATCACAACAGACCGAAAAATTTGTTGGCTTCGTCCCTTATCCCTACTTTGCTTTATTACAGGTTTTCAAATAAAGGGAATGAAATATCTTCAATCGGCAATGTAAGATAATTTAGAATTTCAGAGAGGTCAAACGATTCATACAATTCTTGTTTGCCAAAGCAATGTTTGTACTCCGTAGACTGACGCGTTACCCACTGCGCCACCAGGCCACGATCTTCCCGTCATTGATTCGCCTAATATCATTTCCAAAACTTTTTTTTACATAATCTAATTTCTGAATTCCCGGAGGCGTAAATAATATTTTATTATTTGTGACTTAATCTTTCGTTACGATAGAAAATCTCAATATTTACAGCATAAACTGATATATGATAATTTATGAAATGAGAGAATTATTATGCAGAAATATTTGTTATAAGAAAATGAGACAAATACATTTTACTTTTAACTATTGCATTATTTATTGTTAGAACACAGTGTATGAATTACAAAAGCATGCGTTTCTTCAGCATTTTTTTTTTGTATATTATTGTGGAGTAAAAGATAGAAATGAAAATTAAATTGTCAAAATTAATATTTTATAATCAAATTTACTTGCCGTTTATTTCGTAATTTTTTTAGCAATTAATTCTGACAAATAAATAAGTAAACGAGGAATTATTGTTCGATTTATTTTTACTATCATAAAAAAATTTGCTGGACGAATAAACCATTTTTTTCTAGAATGAATTTAGAATTTTCCAATGTACATTTTACATAATATCCACACTTACATATCATATAATTAATATAATAAATATAATCAACGCATAGGCTATTTAAACGAAAATGTAATCTGTAGCAAAATTTTTTAATTTACCAAGTAATTTAGCCAGAAACAGGTGATATTCATGGAAAAACGTTATAAAATTCAAAATTTCATGCGCCAAAGATCTTTAACATTTGTTTTGTAACTCTCGTATCTTAGTGATGGAATAAACGCTATGTGACGGTTAATCACGAACATTCAGCTTAGCTATATTCGCCTTTCTCGATTTTTCATCGCCTGACGAAATCCATGTTACATTCAGTATTTGTTGCAAAGGAAATTATACGGGACGTCACCTCAGACGTGACAAACGTTCACTTCAAACATGATCACTACGTGAACAGCAGGTTAATGTCATCTCATCACTGGTACATCCAAGGATCGAACTCTGAACCGTTTACCACTAATCAGTTCAGTGCGATACATCATCCCCACAACGGCAATGCAAACGATTCAGACATTTCTTTCCTCATAATAATGCATACGTAAATATAATGTAAAACAAAACACCACTGATCAAATTTCCGTTCACATAACATTCTAGACAGACTTATATGTGCATCAAAAATACAACATTTCATCGTTGTCCCACCGATATTACTTATTTCTGATTTTTTTCAGTTCATATTACTCTTGGCATTATTTTATTCAAATTAGTCGAATGAATTCGCCAACAACATATACCTATTCAAAATTGAAATGCTTCCAGAGCAGTATATAATTAAAATCTGATAATTTGAGATTTAATTTTAAATTTACGAAGTATCAAGTGGAGTATAAAAAATTTTAGTACAAAAATATGCTGCGTAATTATATAAGCATAATATTTCAACAATCATCGTCGATATCGATATCTCTTGAAGTAAAACCATAACTGGAATATTCCATTAACAAACTGACACTTGTAACCATGCTTGTGGCTGATTTCCCATTCTCGGTTAACACACTTGAAGGCTATATCCTCGTAGGGCGGTCCGGCATGAAACCTTATTACAGCAAAATCCGGATCATCACAGGGTGTTACAGTAAACGTGGGCGTTTCTGTGACATCTAATAAATCGGGATAGAATATCTGAAACCCAAATTTCGATTTAAAATGGACTATAAAGAAGGTGTCAAATTAATTTTTCAATAAACGCGCTTGACTGTTTGAATGGGAAAATGAAAGAAATCACAACGATCGAACATTGTCGAAATACAAAGGGAAAATATTCCGCGAATTTGAAGCAAACATTTCAAATTATGGACGTTCAATTCAACTTGCGGATTAAGCGGAACAACCCGAAAACTTGTGCTGCAGTATTGTAACTACTTTCGATAGTAACCAATGTTCATGTTTAATTATGTACCACTATTATTACCTAAGCAATCAAGATTTCTACTTATTCACTAGATGTTAATTCTTAATTTTCAACTTAATAAATGGAAAATTCTTAAGCGGTCCAGAAACAATTCAAAATTCGGGACACAGATAACTTACATTAAAGCGGTAACCCTGCACAATTTTTGGTGGTGGGTTATCCATGTCATAATGAGTTTGATTATATTTGTTCCACTCGAATCCAGTATGTACACGATTGAAATATCTGTAATCAAAAAATCCAGTAAGTTTTAAATATTATTGGAGTGAGCAGATTATCACTGATAAATCTTGAAATTCATCGAGTTATTCATAGTGAAGATAGTTATTCATTAGTATGGATTAGTTATTCATTAGTATAGAATATAGAAACACTAAACGAGAGAAATGAAATGTTAAGGATAAAACCTTGGTTTCCGTGGCCGATATTTTTCAGACCAAAGAAAAGTTTGTGCTTCAAGAGGTACTTCCACTGAAAATGTTGCCTCATCATTCGTCATGCCTCGGCGAGCAATCAGTTCCATTTCCGACTCTGTCACCTACAGTAATACTAATAAACTAAATGTTAATTTTAATTTTTGATTAACAATAACAAATGTAGAAAATAAGTGCCTCTATCACTCGTATTTTTTATCGCACTGCCGAATAATGATAACAAATTCTATTTGATAGAAGCTTGCGAAACAAGAAAAACTACCGATAGATCATTCGATGTGGCTTCAGCGCCGCTCTCGGTTTTGATTATCATTTCCTTACGTTTTTGAACATCCTCTGCTTCATCCAAAATTTCAATACCTGGCATAGCTTCTTTTTCATCACCATATGATGGACTATATGAACCACGTTCATACATTTCTAATGTTAAAATCTCCATCTCATCTTCTGTCAGAAGCCTAAATTTACTACGATTTATGAAGAACAAAGAAAATTTTCACATGTAATTCAAAACTCAATGAAATCTATTCACGGAAAGCTCCCTGTTGTTTTAATTGATCATTTCATAGGTTCTTATCAATTTTCGCAAATAATGATGTTGACATTGCATTGAGCAAAGCCATTTAATATGCAGTATGTTCTTTTTACTTTCAATTTAATGTTAATTCTAAAAAGTACTGGCATAATTAAATTTCAATAAAACACACCGCCATTGTTGCTCCTTAACATCATCATCCATAGCATCCAATTCATCCAGCTGTACAGAAACTGTTTTTAGCTTAGCTGATTGCCTCATCCCACTCGAACCTTCTCCACTTTCCTGAAACCATTTTATTGAAGAACTGCTGATGTTTATCCCAATATAAATGAAATCAAGCAAAGTATTACCTGTCTAAAGACCTGTTCAGGATCACATTCGTGCTTATCCCTTTCAGCTTTTTGCTCTTCTTTTATCCTTTTCAATTTACACCGCAATATTTCCTGATGTCGTTCGTGAATACGAGCTTTCGCCATATGTACGTGAAGATGTTGTAACGTAAATTCCAAGAATTCTACATCAACACCAGGTTCATCACTATGAATCTTCTTCCTGATTTGGGTCTCCAATAATGCTAATTCTTGATGAGTTTTACCCTATAATATTATTTTCTAGTGTTTTCTTTCACAAAAAGCTATTTGATTCAGTCAATTTTATCGTTCTTATTTGTCGGATCAATTTTTTCTGGAACGGCATGAAAATATTGAAAATTCTACACTATCACCAAATAGTCATCAAAAAAGATGCTAATCAAAAAAGACATTTCACTTATTCATGCTGTTCTCAAAGATATCTTTTTTCTGAACATGCAAAACAGCACTTACTTTGAATAAAGCAGTAATATCACTTTGCACAGAATTATGAATTGATTCTCGTGCATAAACTGAATTAACATCATTGGACAACTTTCTTATTTCATTCCGAACAATTGTACAAAAATCTGTCCACCAAATTGAATTATCAGTCGGATCGACTCGTCGATAAACCTATTTATAAAAATAACTGTAAATAAGCAACACAGGAAAAAACACAATAGCATGATTCAACTATGTGTTACTAAAAGTTTCAATGAGCTTGAAAAAAAGCGGTATAATCAATAAAGATCAAAATTACTTTGATATCCTCAAGCAAATCTTCCAAATCTCTGATTTTAAGTCCTATTAAATACGTTGTTGGATCGACAAACTCGAATTCTTCATCTTTCATGCTTTCGACCTTTTCACTATCATAACTGATATATCTAAAAATGTTGAAAAGTTATTTCTTGATAGTAATCGAATAAAAATGAAATGCAACGAAGTTGAAACGTAATGTAAATTATGGAAGTAAAACATTAAAAAACATGGAATCACCTGGCAAGAAAATCGATAGGTTTTGCTCGTCCCTCCTTCAGCCTGATCTTTGTACGCAGTTTAGCCTGATTAAGTAAGAATCCTTCTTCTGTCGTGTACCAGTCTGAATTGTGCCGCCTTTCCTCATCCCTTTTGATCATTTCCAAATCTTCCCGAGCTGCTTCTCGTGCTTCTCTGTTTCTTTTGAGCTCCTCCATTTCTGCTAAGTTTTTTAGCGTACGATCTCTATTCCTATATAAAACGGAATTAATAAAAAAAGATAAAGCCCAGATACGATAAGATCACTACTTTAATCCATAAGATCACTACTTCAATTGGTTAATCTTAACAACCATTGTAGAAGCACTGTTTCTCTGTAGATACTCGAATAACCAGCTGACCTGACCCACAAGTAATAACTTACATTTTTTCAATCTGTTTCAACGACAAATCAGCCTTGCCTTCAGCTGCTAATTTCTTCTTCCATATAAAAGTAGAAGTCAAATTCGGATCATTAAATGGATTGTTGCTGTTTGTGTATTTGGCTTCGTCGTCGAACATAACACCTGATTCTTTTTCTGCCTTCAAATTATTGACGAAATTAATGTCAAACAATGATGTATTTTGACAAACATGAAATAAAAACATTTCAACAATCTCAAACTTCAAAGGGACAAAATTTTTTGCTTGGGAAACAACATAATCACACACAAAAGACGATCGACATTACCCTAGTTTTTGGAATTTGTGGAAAAAAGCTGTTCATACTGAATTTTTCATTCACTAAGTGTTGCAACAGAAAAACCTTTTTTAATTTTTTTGCTAAACGTCTGGCTTTTTTCTCATCCGAAGTTTCCATTTCCTTCCTTTCTTCTTTTTCTTTCTTCTTCTTCAGTTTCTTCTCTTCTCGCAGTGCATTCAAACGTTGATCAAATCGGTCACCCTGAAAATGGTTAATTATATTGCGTGAATTATATAATTAAGCCTCACTGTTTAAATTCAACAGCGCAGGTCGTTCAAAACTGAAGTATAGAATAATAATTTAATGTTACAAGGATATATTTAGCTAAAGCGAGTAAATGTGACAGTAACTGCGGTACTTACCACTGCTATAGTAGTAAGTCTTAATAAGTTTAAAAAAAATCCTGTAAAAAGATCACTGTTAAAACAATAATAATACCTTGTCAGTATCTGAGTCTGAGGAACTGCATTCGTGATGTTTCTGTCGCTTCTTCTTCCGACTCTCACTACTATGTTTGCATTCATGTTTTCTTTTTTTCTTATGTTTGTGTCCCATTTTTACCTACAAAAGTCTTAGTTCGAAGTAAAATGAATTATTTCATGACGGTGAGAGTCAGATTTCGCAGACTGACATGCTGTACTTTTTTTCACCACTATATCTGTAAGAGCAAGAAAGTCTGCAATTGTCGAATCAAGATATTAATGTATGGTGATAACTAGCTAAAAAAAGTTATCAAATTGAAATGGAATGTAACACTCTACAACGTAAGTGAGTACCACTCCCTCCCTATCGCTGACCATAACTGAAACAGTTTTTACGGAAACGAGATCGCAGACGCGTAATATAACACGGCCCAGCGTGGATCATCATGCGATCGTGCCGTGTGTCATATTGGGTGGGTAGGCTTGGAGGTATACAGACGTATTTGTTATTTTAAAACGACTGATAATTTAATTCAATTTATATTTGATGAAAAGCGACAAAAGTCAGATGTTCAATTAGTCAGAAAGGAAAAGGATATCTTCCGACCTCGGCAGGAGTCGAACCTACAATCTTCGGTTCCGTAGACCGACGCGTTATCCATTGCGCCACGAGGCCTGTGGTGTTCAGTGAGTTATTCATTGTATTGAACCTTTCGAGGAAAAGTTATTTTGTGTGAAATATAGAATATAAATTGTTTCATAACACGCTACTTGCGTAAAATTTTCTTCATAGTCGGATTTATCCATTCCACTGCGAAAAAAAACTAATAGACCATGAAAATAACCAAGTGGTTATTGTCATTAGTCCATTTAAGGTTATTCAAAAATTACTTCGAACCTAAGGGATACATATATCTCTGTATTGTAATATCATTTTTGATTGTTCCTTCACGTACGGCACATTTGCGTATAAATATACTTACATATGTCCTTACGTATAGATGATTGTGTGTACACGTAGAAGTAATTATGTTCCATTGATAAATTCGTATGTAATGCACTGTTACACCTCGAAAAATTATGGATTTCTCTATCTCTCGATAACTATCAGCCAACAAAAGAAGAGAAAAAGAAAATCGTTGATTACATTAAATTTGCAATTTTAAATTTTGGAGACAAATTTTTTTAGGGCATTGTCAGCTTGTAAAATTATCTTCAAATTTTTTAAAATGCAACATAGCACTCGTAATGGAAAATGTTAATTGGGGAAATGCAAATGCATGCATTTATTTATTTCATGTCATTATTATGTCAATTATTTTAATTGCTTCATAATGTTTAGAAATGCTAAAGAAAAACACTTACAATAATCGAAAAGCATTGTTATTGTGAAAGAAAAGGAAAGAAGCTACATTTAGCATGTTTTTTTTTCTTCTATAAAAGATCTTTTTAGAAATCATTATTACTGTTAATTTTGCACCTTATAATAATGGAATATTCTTTAAAGAGATGAAGGGAAGTATCTCGGATTCTATTTATTACAAACTTGAAAAAATCATATTATCCTACTTTGACTGAAGTGCTTCTTTTCATTATAGGAGTATTCTCGTGAATAATATAGTCAAATATATCAATTTTCTGAAGAAAAGGCGCGTAATGTGAGGGATATTTGTTCAATTTTATGGTTAAGCTTTCACTCTGAGCAGTATTATTCTGATGTAATTTTTACATTCTTTAGGCATAATAATTCTCGAACAGTTCGGCTAATTTCAATTTTATAACGGAAAAGTTGGTTAAATATGTCTAAATCTAAATGATATAGCTTGGAATGTCATTGAGTATATTCATTCTTCTTCCTTATTACATTTAATTATTTTAGCAACTGACGTATCTTTGCAAATATAGTAAGAATTGCAGTGAAAATTAAAGCTTCACGTCACATTAGCAGTTCCTAACAATTAGCAAATTCAGTTTGGTTGATGAGAGTTTCGATTTCTCTCGTATCATTTTCTTACTAAATATCTCTTTAGCGACTCAAAACTTCCGCAACACAATCTTCATTAAGGCTTTTTAATGACATTTTAAATATTTTAAAATAAGCTTTTCCACTGCAGCATAATTTGATGCACGTACGAAAAAAAAATTAATTGTAGAAAGGTTAAGAAAAAGATTGCAGGGAGGTTTGAAGAAGGTTACGTTTATGAAGGTAAGTTTATAATAAAACTTGACGCATTATAAATGCTATTGCTATATTGAATTGCCACTGAATTACAATTATGAAATCAAAAACTATATCTAAAAAATCAAATGCTCCATCTAAAAAATATAGGAAATACTTAAATTAAAAATGGTATAAAAATAATATGAATAAATTATGCTACGAAGAAATTTTAAAAAGTTTGATATGCTGTACTGTACTCCAAATTTCAATTGTTTTTTTTTTAATTTCTAGCCTATCACTGCCTGATCTATGTCTATTAATAAAACAACTTGCAAAAATAATGTCAAATTTTTGAAAAATTTAAAATTTTCACACACTTCAATCGCTGAAATTTCTTTTTCCAAATTTATCTGTTATCATAATTTATTATACACGCTTAATTAATAAAAATTTGTAAGGATAAAAATACATCTTTATGCTACGGAATTTTTTCACTTTTCACTCTTTCTAGTGAAAGTATGAGAAATGAAATATTATATTTATTGACGCTAGAAAGTGAACATTGTAAAAATTTTTCATGGCTATGAAAAATAAGAAAAATCCATTTGCAATAACAGAAATTCCTACTAAAATTTTTGGAAGAAAATTTCAGGAAATGGATTTTTATAATTAATGGAATTTTGATTATGTGATTTTCTTTTTCAATTAGCAAACTGGTAAAGCGTGAAAAAATCTAAGATATATATCGTCGTTATGGAGTAATATACAATCAAAGCATTAGTTTACCAAAGGAAGCAAATAATGTTTGTGGCAGTCATTTCAACAAACTTATTGCAAGCCACAGCTGCTTGGATGTCAATAACGTTTTTAATACTTCTTATTATTGTTTGCCTTAACTTGTATTTTATTTCTTTCCTACTTTTTTCTTCATTATTTAAGCGCGGAAATATTTGCTCTTGTCTTTTCTTTTTATTTCCAACTATAATTTAGTAGAACGACGTTGATAATTACTTATTAAATTAATCATTTAATTTTTTGAGCATTTTCTCTTTCCAATCGTGATTTAAGACAAGCTGAAATTATTTTATTTATGAGAATAATAATTAAAGTGATTGATTTGTGTCTATTATTTCGTAAGTTTTATAAAGCTCTGCTATTTTGGAGAATTTTCAAATCTGGAAAAAGAAAATGAAATTAAAAATAAAGACAAAAGATTAAAGCTTTTTCTTTTCATCACTGCCGCTTTTTTCACATCTTTCTATAAATTTTTTTTCACAAACTTCTATTTTTCATTACATTCGTTCAAAATTTTCTTGCTTTTTTTAACATCTTTTGAGCAATTATTTTTATAAACCGAAAAATAATAACTATAATTTTAAAAAAAAACATTAATTTATCGAATAATTAGAACGAACAAGTTTTATTAAATACTGTTAGGTAATATTTCATCAAGGTTCATTTTGTATTTTTATGAAAGATGAATTCTATGTATATTGCATGATAAATTTACTTGAATAATTCAAATAAATTATTTGACATATTAACTAATTATATTTCTCAGAAAAATTCTTTATGTAAGTGTACATATTGTTAATTTGATTTTGCTAATATTTATTAATGATTATTAAGGGTACAAAAGCGGATTTTACTGAAATTAATGTATACGGCAAAAATATTATTGTTTTTGCTGTTATTGCTCATTACAAACAATATCGATGGATTACTGCTAGAAGATGGATGGAAGTCTAAATTACCTGTGGAAAGGGTTAAATACATAGGTTGTGAATTTTATCATATTTGTTAAACTTTTACCATAAATTTCACAAATGAAATTCATCTATAATTTTGCAAATTTCATGAAATTTTCCAAATATATGAACTCTATATTTAGAAAACTAAAGAAAATGACGCATTTGAAATGAATATAACACGAAAAAAATCGTTATAGTATTCATATTTTTATGAATAATTCATATGTTTTTGTTTATAAAATTAAAACAAATTATTATTATTATGCATGAAAAATTTTAATGTATTATTAAAACGATATTCAAAAGGAAATGCTTTGCTAACGACACAAAAACGCTGCATGTGTATCGTGCATGCAGCGTTTCTCTCGTTAAAACCAACTTTATCACTGAACGTTTTTTATCTCTCTGCTAGTATCAAACACAAATTTTTTATTCAACTTGGAAAAAAAAGTTTTGCTTGTCCGTTTTCGAATCAAGGATTCCTTTTTTCTAAAAGATTAATTTAAACTTGTTA